CCCCCCCGCTGAGCTATGGGATCACCATGACTTGAAATGCTGTTGCCTCTGGGGCCCAGCCCAAGGAGCTGGGTGGTAAATCATGAGCCTTTTGGCTTTGGATTAATGCCATGCATAGTTTGTACTTTATATAAGTAGGTACAAAAGTGTTACTTGAAAACATCTTTTTGGAGTACCTGTGCTAAAACTTGCAGCAGCATTTAAAAAAAAAGGTAACATGCATCAATTCTGGATGAGCTAAATGCATGGGTACTGCATGCACATTTCTACAGCCAAGATTAATTTCCGGGTTGTTATTTTCAAATCTGCTCATCATTTCTATATGCTCAGAAAAAGCAGGGTCTGATGGTAAGGAGAAGGGAAAGGGGCTGCCATGGGAAAACGAGGTGAAACAAAGCAAAGGAGCTACCTGATTCTCCCCTCCCCACCCCCAATTTATTTTCCTCGCTATAGCAGTGGGAAGAAGAGGAATTCTAGGCAAACCTCCAATAATTATATTCTATACCTGGAAATTATAACAAATTTATAAATTTTCCATATATAGAATGTAATTATTTGGAGGTAGTCTTATAATCAGGATAGTCTTCTATTTGAGTCAGTACCATATTTTATAGTCTAACCTTTCACAATATGAAGGTATTTTCATCTTCTGTGTACATCTCTCCTCAACGTAAAACAAAATCAATCTGTACTCTAAATGTGTTTGTTGTATTATCTGTGCTTCTCTTAACTATTTTAGGCTGCTGCCAGACATCAGTGTTCCTATCTAATAAATATGCACGTTGATGAGTTTCTGAAGACTGGTGGGATTGCAGAATGGTTAAATGGAGTGGAATATATACCACAAAGACTGAAAAACCTGAATGAAATAAACAAACTTCTTGCACACCGGCCCTGGCTAATCACAAAAGAGCACATTCAGGTACCTATCAGAAAGTATCTAGCATTAGCAGTATGTACCTAGTTAGGGTCTAGAACATTTCTTGTTAATCTAGAAATCTCCATCTATAGAAGAAATTCTGATTTCTGATGCAGATAGTAATATGGGTGACTGAATGAGTATGGCTGCCCAGTAGTGGGCAAGTCTACGTGTGCATTAATGTGCTTTAGTTAATATGCATTAAATCTAGTAATTCTGTGCACCTATACACGAGCGCAGAGGCTGCTCTAACCCTCTGAAATTCCAGCACATTGGAGCAGACTTGGTTTAATTACCACCCAATTACCATGCTCCAGCAGCCTCCTGCGTCTTGTGTATCAGTGTCCCTGCTCTTAAAAATGGTTATGGGGGTACTTGAACTAAAACTCATGGAATGAGCTTCAGTTCAAGTGCTCATGCCACCAATTTTAAGTGCTGGGACACTTACACAGGAGATGTGGCAGCACTTTAATTAGAGCAGTGCTTTAATTAGAGCAGCATGTAAAAGTGCTCTCCATCATGAGGTACTAGGAAAATGCACATTAGCCTGTCTTAATGCGCATTAACTAAAGAGCATGGCTTTTACGTGATACAATGTGCATTAGCCTATTTCAAGGTGCATTAACTATATAGCAATTTTTTACTGATGCTTTAATGTGCATTAAAATAAGCTAATGCACATAAGTGCATGTGTAGACATGCCCAGTGTGGTCAAAAGGTTTATAAATACCTGTCCTTCTGGTAGGCAGGATATAAAAGAAGAATTTTCTGCTATAAATTGGAGGCAGTTAGAACACAACCTTCTTATTGTTGTTTAATAGAACATCAGATTAAGGCAGTTTTGAGAGAGGGTGTGTTTTTTTGTGTTTTTTAAGTTAAAGTGCAAGGAGCACTTGTACTGCAAGAGCTGCTTATTCTTTCTGATTTCATATTTATGCTTTTTTTTTCCTGTAGTTATACTTATGTTGGGGGAACATCATATGTCCACATTGTCTGTTCTTACTGTTTTCCTTCCTGGGGTTCCCCTTAGCTATATTTCTCTGCTGCAGTTGCCTAGGTAGATCGTTTGCAATTCACCAGAGACCAGATAAGGGTTTTATTTTATTATGTTAGAGGCAAGTAACTATGTAAATATTTCTCTAAAGCCTTTTTTTCCCCTAAAGATGGTCATTTAATATGGAGAGCTCAAAATAAGGCAGTATTGCTGGCCTTGGCACTGGGAAGGGGTACTTCTGGTAAAAGGAAGCTAGACGTTAATTTCACTTAATGTAAATGTTACCATATGTAATGTAAATATAAATTATTCTCACTCCTGTGTTCATCCCTAAAGCCTGTATATTTACACCTTATTTGTTCTTATTTCAGAAACTTGTCAAGACTGGGGAAAATAATTGGTCTCTTCCTGAACTGGTGCATGCTGTGGTCCTGTTGGCACATTATCATGCCTTGGCGAGTTTTGTCTTTGGTAGTGGCATTAATCCCGAGAGAGATCCAGATGCCTCTAATGGGGTCAGACTTATAGCAGTCAACAACTTCTGTGTCTGTGATCTTGCCAATGACAACAATATAGAGAATGCATCCCTCAGAAGTAGCAGCTTTGGGGTTAGTGTTGCAAGAGAATTCTGTTGCTTGTCTCTGAGGAATTTGCTAATGCAAAGTACACACATTCTTTCTTGTTTGAACTTCATTGTAGTGTGGCTTTTGTCTCTCTTACTGCAGTGCCAGGGAAACGGTGGTATAAAAAGTTTTAACTGTAGTTTGCAATGTAACAGATTTCAAAATTGAATAATTCTTACTGCAGTCTTGAATTCAGATGAGTTTTAATGGTTATTCTTCCATAAACTGCTGACACTAAGGCCTCTTTATAGTACAAAGCTGAAAACCGTAGATTTCAAATAGCATAAACTACTGTTTTAACTCCAGAGGTTCTTAAGATAGTGGGTGCTAAAATTTTGACATCAGAGGGCACCTACACACGTGCAGTGAGGCTGCTCTAATGCACTGTACTAACTGAGCATTGTAATGGCGACAGGGATGCTTTTAAGTAAAGTTCGTTTGACAAGCTTTAGTTAAAGTGCCTCTGCTGCCATTTTTCAGTATGGGGACGATGATGCACGTAACGCTTTAGGCACTTTAATTAGAGTGGCTCTCAGAGCCACTCTAATTGAAGCACCCACATACACGCTTCCGGAGTACATGTGTAAACACCCAGAGTTGGTAAATTGTAAATTGGTGATCTGAATTGTCACTGAGCTCTGTGATACTAGAAAAGGCCAGTATTTGAAACAACCTTTTGTAGACAAGGAATCAGTAAAACTCTTCACCATAATTCTGATTAAACTCCCAGAGAGAATTTTGACTAATAATTAGTTAACTATATTGTGTAGCAAATTCCCAGGTTTACAGGTCTTACTTTGTAATCCTTTGAAGAGATCATTTTGTTCTGCTGGACCATCCCTCTTCTTTTTTGGTGGAGAGCTCAGTAGACTTCAATAATAAAATATTTTGTGAGTAACAGACTTATATATATCAAGGTAGGACTTGTTTATGCATGGTCTGAATGAGAAATGCAGTAGGCTTTAGGTAGGTTTGTGCCTTTAGGTAGGTTTGTGCCTACAATATGTGGTACTAATTTTCACTTTTGCCTTGTAACATATTCTCTTTAATATGGAAAAGCAAGTAGTTTGGGCCAATAAGAATGACATTAAAATAGAAGATAAAACTAACTTTATTGTCTTAGGTTCTGTTTCTTGATCTCACTCTTTAGATCAAGGCGTGGCAACCTGTGGGCTGGATTTGACCCACAGAGCTGGGGCTTCAACAGCCTTCAGCATCAGGGGGCTTTACATGCTCCATGCAGCCAGGCGCTGGAGAAGCTTTGCTTGTGCCATACCACAGCCAGGTAGTGGGGTGAAGGAGCTGGCAGCTGGGTCTTAGTGCTGACCTAGCTGACACCTGAACTAAGCCATTCCAGCCCACTGCTGGAGAATATTAAGCATAGCTTTCAGCAGTAGGAGAATAAGAAAAGTCAATTTTAATATTAACAGTTATTATTGAAGTGCATGTCAGTGTTCACGTAGGAAATTAGCATCCTTCTTGAGCATTCAGAAAGCTGGAATGTATATTAAACAGGGTTTTTTCCCCTTTTTAAAGCAGTGGACACATTTCTCAGTTACTCTTGTCTTCTGAAAGTTTTTAAAAATGTTGAATCTTTTGAAGTGCCATCACATGATACAAGTCTATACTGTATTGTATTATCATGGATGCAAATGACTTGAGAATATTATATATGAGTTAAAACCTTAAATAGCATTTATGCAATTTAATTTCTAATCTTCCAGAATATCTTTGTGTTTTGCAGATGGTAGATTCTTTAAGTGAGCTGGAGGCCTTAATGGAAAGAATGAAGCGCCTGCAAAAAGACAGAGAGGATGAAGAGGCTACTCAGGAAGAGATGGCAACTCGTTTTGAACAGGAAAAGAAAGAGAGTCTTCTTGTAGTTACTGGAGGTACTTCACACTCTCTGCCTGGCCTCTGAGTCTTGCTTCATTGTATCTAGAATTCTTACTCCAATTCAGTTCACTAAGACGGGTCAGCAACCTACAGGCTGTGGGCTGGATTTGGCTTGCAAAAAGACTGGATCCGTCCCATGGCAGCTTGGTGAATTGGCAGTATGCTTCAGCCAGGGCAGCAGAGGAAGTGTTCCACAGTGTTTCCCAGGTGCATTCTGTATCCCTTCCACAACATCTGCTGATCACTTTGCAGCCCACAAAAGGGACAGGACAAGCAGAAACTTGTGGGGACGGAAGGTTTCCAACCCCCAAATTAATTAGTAGCAGTTCCTTTAATCTTAATGGAATGGTAAAGATGATTCCTATCCAATTTAAAGCCAAGAAATTGCAAATGTCAAAATTATTAGGAAGTCAGTCTGTTTCAGGAAGAAATTCAAAACAGTCTCCTGCAGAAACTGCTGCTTCATGCTGCTTTAGTCGTATGAATTCTAGTTCACTTTTGTAGAAATGTTGAAGAGTAGACTTCTACAACACTTTGAAGAAGCTTGGTTCTTCTGGAAATGTCTGTATTAATACCCTTGGAAACAGAAGGGTATATCCAAGGGATATGTTTACAACAAGCTGCAGCTTCTTGTTGTCCTTCATCTGAGTGGCTAGTCCCAGTTCCATCTCCGCCTCAGCCTTTCTGACCGCCCCCCTGCAGCCCCAAGCAACCGCAGTATAGTCCTCCCTGGTGATGGCCCCTCCCTTCCATTGGGTGTATGCCTCCTTTTTACCGAGGAGACATTCCCATATGCTTTTGGTGAGCCATGGGGGCTTTTGCACCCTCCTGCTCCCTTTGGTCTGTGTTGGGATTACCTCCCTTTGGGCTTGGAGGATCGTCTCCTCAAGGAACAACCACTCTTCTTGGACACCTGGCTCCCCACCCCTCCAGGACCTCAGTGCCTCCCCTGACTATTCTTACCTCATTGAAATCTGCCCTCCTGATGTCCAGGGCTGCTGCCTTGCTGCAGGCCTTTGCCACCTTGCGCTGGATGGTGAATTCCAGCAGGCAATGATTGCTGTCACCCAGATGTGTAGCCAAGATGTGTAGCTTAGTAGTTATTTCTTTTTTTTTCTTTTTAAAGAGATTTAATGGGTATTGATCTATGAGACTCCCTTGGTTTTCCTAGAATACTGTAATATTGTCAAGGTGCATCTTATAGCTACAGGGAGAAGCCAGTGGAAAAAAGGAACTTCAGAGCGAGTTAAATCAAATTTGGTCCTTCAGAATGCAAAACTGTACCTACCTAATTTGGTTGTAGTAGCTGTTGGTGTGCTAGGAGACAGGAAGGAACTCAGTCTCTCTTACTGGAAATCTGCAGAGATCATCTTTTTTGTTCTTTGAAAACATACCATATAAAAGCCCCTAAAAGAATATTGTTGTACTATATTGTTACATTGTTTCCTATTTAGATCTAAAAACACCTGTCTGCTTGCAGGATGTAATTCTCATCGATTCAAAAAGATTATTTTAATTTCTACAATTGTAGTCAAACTCTCTTGTCTATCTGTTGTAGACTGTTGTTACTCCTTACCATGGTATCCCAGCACCTTCAAAGTAAAATCAGTAACGGTATAAAAACTTAAATGGTCCTTATGCAATATTTTAAAACTTATACCTTCTTTTGTTTAAAACTGTGCTTTGGGTAGGGGTTTTTCTCTTCTAGGTGGGTGTGGATGTGTGGAATTTTTTGGTAGGTGGGTGCAGGGTGGCCTACATATTTCTTTACCCCATAAAATTCAGGCTGACTGCATCTAGTTTCAGCAAGTTGGACCTCTTTTTAAATCTTCAGGGAAGATTACCTACAGCAGATGCCGTGCAAGTTTCTTCCCCCACACAGTTATGTTTTGATTGGTTAATGAGGCAGAGAGCATGATAAATCATCTCTGTGATTCTTGGATTAACGGATTTTTAAGGTGCTAACAGTAGACATATGGCAACTTTTCTGTCAATGCACATGGAAGTGAGCCAGGGTTTTAATGTGAGGGTCAAATGCAGTCAGCTATGTAGTAATCAAGTCCTGTAAAGGTAGTTACACAATCAAACCACCCGCTTGTTAAGAGGAGAAAGACTGATTCCTGAGAGAGAACCGGTACTTGCTTAGTGACACATTGTTGAAGCTCTTCACAGATGCTTAGTTACTGCAGCTGCTGATATAATTTCAGCCTTTCTTTCAGTCAGTTCTTTGCTTTCATATAGTCTTGAATTGATATTTACAAGCCAAGTATTGTATATCTCTTCATATTTAATTTATTGCTTTTTGATTGCTCATATTCTGCACTATAAAAAAAGAAAAAAAGCTGATAGATGTCAAGACAACAGGCCCTCTGGGTAGTTTAGCTTGTCAGGGGGACATTTTTATTTTTTGTGCTGTGCACCAGTGTCTTATTGTACAAGCTTTACTTCACCATATCAGAGGAGTGACCTATTCCAGTGGGAAGCAGGTCAGTAAGTATATGGCAGTGTCCAACACTGGTCATATGTGTTTTATGTCACATAAGCTCCATGAAGCTGCTCTACCAGCATGCTAATAGTAAGAAAACATGAACCTGACTGAGTGCTATGATTGTAGTTTACTATGGCATGTAGTAAAAACTACTGTGTATATTCTGTTCAGTCCTGCTGGTCTTGTTACCCAACATGCCACATTTATAATTGTCAGTTCTAATCTCAAATTAATTTTGAGCTTCCCTTAACTTTACTACATTGATTCATGCCTTCTTTCTTCATAACAGCCCAGAAAGTTGCATAGGGTCACTTTTTTAAGATATCTACCTTTTTGCATCCAAGCTGAGGCCAAGCCCTTTTTCATTTCTTGCTTCATGTCCCCATAACATGTCCCCAGAATTCATCCTCTGTTCTGTATTCCAGCCACCATAAAGAATATAAGCAGAAGGGAAGGGGGGAAAATTAAAATCTAGACTCCTTGCTTGCAGAGATAAGAATGCTACTGAAACTCTTATTCAAAGTAAATCAAACAACTTACTAAAATGTTTAAACCTTATAAATGTACACAAGCAAAATACCATAAACTAAATGAAAATTTACTGATATTCTGACAGTTCTGTCTCTTCCCAAAGACCTTGTCCTGCTACTTTATATTATTTTATATTTTCTATACAATTCTATGTTGGAGTGGAGGTTGGGAGGTAGTAGTGGTCTCCCTGATATGTCTGCTCTCAACACAGTATTTTGCTGTCCTTACCAGCATTTGATGATGAGATGGTATCCATGGATGTGTCCCGCTACATTGAAGATCCTGGTTTTGGGTACAAAGACTTTGCCAGACGGGGAGAAGAACACCTGCCAACATTCCGGGCTCAGGTACTTAAATGCATTAATTTTAGTAATTTCAGTCGAGAAGAATTTTTACATTCCTCAGCACCAGAGAAAATAAAATTGAGAAGCGTTTGTGGCAGAATATCCTTGTTACGTACCCATGTTCATGTGGAGGATCAAATAGATTATTGCTACTTATGGTATGTATTTCTAGTGCTTTTTGTATGATCAGTTTTTAAATATCCTGGGCCTTTCCTCCCCTACTGTTGTCAGCCAGAGGCCAAGGACTGATAAGCTTTCATTTGTCTTATGCCTTTCCAGAACAAGTCTGTGGAACTTGCTAAATAGATCCAGGGTTGGAGTGTTGTTGTAGCCATATGGTCCAGGAAATGTATGAGAGGCAAGGATTCTTTGTGGGGAAGGGCACTTGATGCCCAAAAGTTTACCAACAGCTCTTCCAGATATACAGTTGGTCCAATAAAAGGTATCACAAAGCCTCTTTGCCTCATGTTCTAAGTTTGTAAATCTGTTTTATAAAAGTAAAGAACTCAAAGACCTGCTTTCCTTTTCCTCCAAATATTAAAATCTTGTACTTGAGGCCCAGGAAATTGCAACACTTGATTTCTTCAGCAGGAAGTCTTCTTGTCTCAAAGATTAATGCTGTTAGCACATGCTGTACATACAGTGTGTCACATTTTTAAGTGTCCTCTGCTCTGAAAGACTGTCTGAGAGTTTCCCCAGACTTAAACTTTTCAAAAAAATAAAGATCTTAATTGTGTGACCATAGCCATTTTGAAGCCTTTAGCTAAGCATAGTATTTCTTTTGAGCTGGAGAAAGGATTCTCTTCTTCATCATGCAACATAGTTTGGTTCTAATCTTTGCCTGGGGTTCCTAAACATCCCTTAATACAAATAGAGAAATCATAGCAAGGAAGGCTGTAGGTAGAATAAATTGCTGATTAATAATGTCAGCTTGCCTTCATGGGACTCCTAATATAAATGAATTGCAAATCATGGTAAAACAAATCTTAAACGAGGTCAGAATGTTTCCAGAAAAAGCAAAGTAGGTGCAGTGCTAGCAAAGTAGGTGCAATGTTAAAGGAAAATTCCATGGTCATAGAATGATCTCAGCTGCAGTAAAGGAGATGCACCATCCCTGTCAGCAGATGTATTTAGCTCTATACTAATGTTAGCTGATCAGGACAAATTATTCCTGGACTCTTTCATATACTTTTGGGATAGACTAAACCACACTTTTGGGTTGATTAAGTAAGCAATGTGTCAGCAATCCCTGAACACTGCCAAATGGTTTGCATTTTAAAGTTGGCTTCTGTAGGGTCAAAATAGTACTGACTTTTCTAGGAACCATAGGTTCTTTGGAGAAAAGGCTAATAATTGTCATTGGCTTGGTACAATATTACCTGCATTTAGAATTGTTCCAAAGAGCTTTACAGAAGGTTATGTTGAAATTGAAGGTCAAGATCTTATTCTGCTAAGTTTTTATATATAAATACAGAATAAGAGAATCCCTGCCTGAGACTCCTTTAAATTTGAAGCAGTGGCAGGTCAATATGATGCTGCTCAAACACCACAGACTGAATCTTTCAAACTACCTCTTGGATCAGTCCTTTTTATTATTTTCCAAGTAATATCTGTAAGCAACAGCCTTTCTACTTCCCAGTGCTTCTGTTCTACCTCAGAAGTGGCTGCTTTGGAAAGCTATAGATACGGTATTTATTCATAGATTATAGAGTTGGAAGGGACCCCGAATGATCATTGTGTCCGACCCCCTGCCCCCAGCAGGAAAGAGGATCAAGGTCAGATGACCCTAGCCAGGTGCCTATCTAGCTTCCTCTTGAAGGCCTCCAAGTTAGGTGATAGTACCACCTCTCTTGGCAGCCCATTCCAGATTCTGGCCACCCTTACTGTGAAAAATTTCTTTCTAATGTCTAACCTGAATCTACTCTCCACTAGTTTGTATCCATTATGCCTAGTTACTCCTAGGGGTTCCCTACTAAATAGCGCATCTCCAATTCTTTGTTGTCCTCCCTTGATAAACTTATAGGCAGCTACAAGGTCTCCCCCCAAATGTCTCTTGTGAAGGCTGAAGAGATCCAGATCCCTCAACCACCCTTCGTAGGGTCTTGCACAGGGGCCACTAATCATGTGAATGGCCCTCTCTGTACCCTCTCCAGATTCTCTGCATCCTTCTTGAAGTGCAGCATCCAAAACTGGACACACAGTACTCCAAGTGCAGTCTGACCAATGCGACATAGAGGGGGAGCATCACCTTCCTTGATCTGTTGGTCATGCATCTGCTAATGCATGATAAGGTGTGATTGGCTTTGTTACACTGCTGGCTCATGTTCATCTTGGAGTCAACTATGACTGAGCTGCTGAGAAGGTCATCCTCCAACCCATTGGTGTGCTGGAGATTCCTCCTCCCTAGGGTGGAGTACCTTGCATTTGTCTTTGTTGAACTGCATCCTGTTTTGTTCTGCCCATTGATCCAACCCGTCCAGATTGGCCTGTATGTTCTCCCTGCCCTCCAGTGTGTTAACTTTGCCCCATAACTTGGTATCATATGCGAATGTGGACAGGGTGCTCTCCACACCCTCGTCCAAATCGCCGATGAAGATATTAAATAACACCAGTCCAAGGAACGAACCCTGCAGGACACCACTGCCCACCTCCTTCCAGGTCAAAAATGACCCATCCACCACCACTCTCTGGGTGCAGTCCCTAAGCCAGTTGGCCACCCACCTGACTGTAAGCGTCCATTCCACAGCCTGATAGCTTCCTTATGAGAATAGGATGCAAAACTGTATCAAAGGCCTTCTTAAAGTCCAGGTAGATGACACAGGAGCTGAGGCAGATATCAAGGCAGTGTGTGACCTAGCCATAAAAGGCTATAAGGTTTGTTAGGCAGGATCTACCTATTACAAACCCGTGCTTATTTCTTTTCAGCATCATTTCCCCTGCTGGGCCTTCACAAATTCACTCTAATGATTTTTTCCAGTGTTTTCCCAAGGATATAGAGGTAAGACTGACTGGCCTAAAGTTACCCAGCTCATCCCTTCTACCCTTCTTAAAAATGGGCACTGCATTGGCCCTTTTCCAGTCCTCGGGGACCTGGCCGGAGCACCATGAGAGCACATGGTGTCATAGCTCAGCTATGACACTGGCCACTTCCTTCACCCGTGGATGGAGGTGACTGACTTGTACCCATCCAGCCTGTCCAAGTGCTCCGTAACTAAGTCAGCACTAACCACTGGCGGTTTGTGCTGACTTAGTGCATAAACTGAACACCAAAATAGAATATATGCCTTCCTTTTTGCAAAATAGAATTAAATAAAAAGGATTTTCCAAGAATTGTCTGCACACAGCAGGGACAGATCCTAATCTTCAGGTGACTTACCTTCCCTTCTTTGCTTAACCAAAGCTGAAATTCTAGCTGCTATCGAAGACTAGTCTCCATAGGTAGATCTATGATTTTGAAAAGAGCTAAAGAGTCGCCAAGGCTGTGAAATAGGAGAAGAGAGGCCAGGAGCAGCCCTCAGACAGAAAAATTGCCCTAAGAAAGATTAGCTTGATTAATAGTGTGTCAATCAAGCTCCTGTAAGAATAAGTCACTATTGTTAACACGTTTGGAGTGAAGAATGATAAGCCATTGTTTGCCTGTGAAGAAAAGTAGAATCATAGAAAATTAGGGTTGGAAAGGACCTCAGGAGGTCTAGCCCTCTGCTCAAAGCAGGACCATCCCCAACTATATCATCCCAGGCTTTGTCTAGCTAGGTCTTAAAAACCTCCAAGGATAGAGATTCCACAACCTCTCTGGGTAACCTGTCCCAGTGTTTTACTACTGGAGTGAGTTTTTCTTAACATCTGACCTAAACTTCCCTTCCTGCAACTTTAACTTCTATTCCAATCAGAAAAATAACTTCCCTGTTTAATATATACACCCCAGTTTTGAGGAATGATTTTTTGGGGGAAAGGTTTATACATGAAAAAATGTGGTAATATCTGAATGAATAGCTTCCAATTAGAACAAGTTTGGTGGCCCTGGGTCCAGTTCCATTAAGGGATTTAGGAAGAAATTAAGGGTCGGAATCTAAAAGTGTAATCTTCCAAGTCTAGGGACAGAAGTTGCACATTAAACCAATTTAAGTGATCAGAAACTGGTTTAAACCTGTAACAGAACATAAGTTGAGTGCACATAAACCAGTTTTGAAATGGCTGAAACTGGTTTAAGATAAACCTGGTTAAATGTAGTATCAGACTTAACCAGTTTAGGTCAAACTGGTTTGTACAATGTCTGTCCCAGACCCCTTCCTGGTTTAATTAAACTAAAGTCCCAGATGTTTTGCAGCCCTGGGGTGGGCTGGGCTGTCTGCTAGAACAGAGCAGGGTTGGCCCCACCCCTCTTCTGTGCCAGAGCACTATCAGGGACTGCAGCAGCTGCCAGGCTTCCCCCTCCACCCAGCTGCTCAAGTAGGGATCTACACACCACCCCCCTCCTGCCCCTCTCCCACAGCAGCGACCCCAGTGCAGGGACTCTACATCTGGCTGTGCCCCCCACCATGCTAGCTAATGCTGAGAGGTGTCTGTGTGGGTCTCCAATTTCACTGGAATAAAGGCAGACAGCTAGTGGCTTGCAAATGCATCCTGCAGATAAGAGCTCGAAACAAATGAAAGAGATGTTTTCTTTTGTAGGGCTTGATGGACTGATAAACTTTGTTCTGACAAGCAACCTGCTGGCTGAAATCTGTCAGTCTTCAAGAGGGGACAGAGAAAGGTGTTAGAAAAGACCTGGTTTGCACACGGTATGAAGGAGGGAGAGGGAGCTTGAAAAGCTCAGTATCATCAACAGATATAGAGTCTGGCAATGCTCTCTGCCCCTTGAACAGTGAGGTAGGAAAAGCCTGGGATGGTGCAGGCAGGATGGGGGTTTAAAACCCTCCCCAATCAGAGCATCCTGCCAGGGCCTGACCATGCTTCCCCTCAGCTCAGCACTCTGGAAGGGAAGGGAGGGAGGGCTGCTTTAGCACCCCTTCCCCCACCCCCCCTCACCTCTGCTTTTAGCCTGAGCCACTGCAGGCATCTGCTTGCATTTTTGGAATGAAAAGGGAATAAATTTCCACTTCCAAATTGGTTCAAGCTCCTCAGGTTAAACAAACCTGCAAAGATTGAATCAACTCACCTTTTTGAAGGTCTGTCCCTAGGCCAAATGCCCAACTATTCCATTTGGATGGCTGTGCAGCTCCCAGATCAGTGTGTTGGCTATTGTAAATCCAGTCCTAAAATGCCTGACTCTTCCTTCTGTGTTTCCGTAGGGAACTTTTAGAGCCTAGTTCAGGACTGTACATTCCACTATGGAGGGTTGGTGCTTAGAAGTTAGATGTCTTGTAACACTGAGGGCACATCTACATGTGTGCCATTAGTCATTTAGTACTTGCTTAAGCAAGTAAGTGGCATTACTGCTCAGACTCAATGCTCCACAGGTTTTTTCCCCACACTACAGCACAGTAGCAATGAGCTACTACGCAATAGCATCAGCATCACAGTTCGTGCCCACAGACTAGCCACTGCAATGAGCTACAGTGACAGCATCTCATGTAGACTTGCCCTGAATGTCTTAACACTTAAGTCCATTTGTTCTGCGTCCAGTGACTAAACCTGACTTTATCAGGGAACATACACTGATTAAAATCCATAAGTTGACGAATTAATAACAGAATGCCTTTTTTTTCTATTCTGTTTCTCAGTCTTCACCATAGGGAGAAACAAATGAGAGAGTCACCATTTTGTAGTCTTATGTCACGTGTTTCTTTTGTTCATTTAGGACTATACCTGGGAAAATCATGGCTTCTCTCTTGTGAACAGACTTTATTCTGATATTGGGCATCTCCTGGATGAGAAGTTTCGGATGGTCTACAACCTCACTTACAACACTATGGCTACACATGAAGATGTTGACACAACAATGTTAAGAAGAGCTTTATTTAACTATGTCCACTGTATGTATGGAATCAGGTATGTAACAAACTTCTTTTTACTAGTGAGTATGTTTTAAAGCTGGTAAGTACAGTGTGTACATCGGAAAGAAAGTTATTAGATTTTGATCACATGTAGAGCAGTGCTTTAGAATTGGTGTTTATGCTCAGAAAATAAATGTGGTTCCTATGTTTTGGAATACCAGTGGACTTTGATACAAAATGTGGTGTATTTGTAGGGTCCTTAGTGTAACTTAATTGTTTTCTACATTTAGACAAAATTTAGCTGTTCTGTGGATCAAGTAAGCTTACAGTTCACACAGAAATCTGTCTTCCCTCCCCTGTCATCTCCCCCTCCTTCCCAAAACTTCAGCCAAAAGGTTTCCCTTTTTCAGAGAGAGGTAAAAGTTTATGCCATGTTCTTAAAGCTTTTAGAAGGTCAGTTGCCTTTGTTCTAGTCTGAGTCAAGATTGCTTGTAATTTCTGAATTTAAAAGCTGGTAAAAAGAAATTTGACATTTTCAAAGGTGTATTCAGAAGAGAGACTAGGTCTGCCTTCCTTTGTTTAGGTATGATGACTATGATTATGGAGAAGTTAATCAGTTACTTGAACGCAGTCTGAAGGTTTACATTAAGACAGTGACCTGCTACCCAGAGAGAACTACCAAGCGCATGTATGATAGTTACTGGCGTCAATTCAAGCACTCAGAGAAGGTGAGTCTTTCATAGCCAGACATTTCACCAGAAACCCATCATGTAAGCAGGGGAAGATGAGGAGGAGACTCGCAAAGAGATGTGTATCTGAGAAGGTTAAACTTTTTAACAGTAAAGTTAATTCTCTAAACTTTCTTTAAGTACTGTACAGCATGGCCACATAAGTTAGTTAATTGGATGTTAAATGCAACTGTTGAGAGAATGTTTTCTCAGTGATCAGACCGTGGACCTTAGAGACTTCTGAATGAAACTGAGCCAGCAAGAATGAATATAGAAAAATTATCGGACTGGGATTGCTAACATAGTCAACTGTTCTGAAACTTTTAGACTCTTCAAGTGAGTTCATTATTTACATCATGTGTCCTTATGCTGTTTGCAGTCAGTACAGGATGTTGGCGTTTGTAAAGCTATTAATTAAACAAGTTAATACCTGTCTCCCTTTTAATATAAACTGCATATAAACTCTTCTTTCATGAAATATCATGAATGTTTCCATGGCCATTGTGTTTGGTTATAATAAACAAAGTCTTTTATAGGTATTAGCATAAAACAAAGCCCAGCTTCTGTCCTTTCTATAATCTGCATGCTTATCTGACCACCAGTGTACATGTCTTCAGTCATGAAATTTTGAACTTTGATGTAAATGAGCTTTCCTGAGGTCCAGTAGCAAACTAGGATAAAGCTGCTATTTGGTCTTCCTTTAAGTGCTAGAAAAGCCAAGCTGGTCACTACATGGATGAGGGCCATAGTATATAAGGGGTGCCTAGGAATTGCAGGGTACCTGCAAGGTAAGTGGTTTTTGCACAGATGCCCCTGCATAATGTTGGGTAACATTGTGCTGCACCTTTCCAAGGTATTTGCATAGCCTGGCCTTGACACTAGCGGCTTAGGTACTGATGTATACATTTTTGGTTAGGTAGATACCCTTTTTTTGTTTTTTTTTTACCTGGCTCAATGTTCCTTGCAGTAGTTTCCTAATTGTGCTTTAGTAACAGATTTGAGTGCTGCTCCTGTATTTTATGGTATGTTACATGTGGATTTGTTACATTAGACTACCTGGAAGCAACGGAAATGTAGTCTTCCAAGTCATGGTGGAAAGGTTTTCTGTCATGATCATCATTGCTGTGCAGTGTTGATTTGCTGTTGCTTCTGTTAAGTCAGATGGAAGATTACTTAAAGCTGTGATTATGACCAGTTACCTGGGACCCCAGAATGTCAAACAAAATTGACATACTAGATATCTGGAGAGGACCTGGTAGCCCTTCAGTTGTGTAGGCTGCAGGAAAGTAGCTGTTACTTTTTCAGGCATAAATCTTGAGGCAATTGGACAATTAAATAGTCTTGAATAAATACTGCTTGAGAAATGTAAAGCCAAGTAAATATATTTTTTAACTTTCATTTTTTTTAAACAGGTCCATGTAAATCTGCTATTAATGGAAGCACGTATGCAAGCAGAACTTCTATATGCCCTTCGTGCCATAACTCGTCATCTGACCTGAAGCATTTGTAGGGAGAGGGCCGAGAAGTCCTTAACAATATGTAAAGACCTTTTGAAATAGATACACACCAGAAGCTGTTTGTGATGTAGCATCAGGTTATTCAATTCTCTAGTGTCAAAGTTTAGCCGTGTTTTTGGCGGCTGTAATGTGCAATGACGTGTTTTTATTTTCTTGATGCTTAACATTACTAATGATAGCAAAAATAACACTGAGGAGCACTAGTCCTACATTCTTTTTTTCTGGTTGGATTTCTGGACACTGGTCAAAATCCTGAAAACAGGTTGTTTTACTTTAGCGCTTTGTTTTACTCACAGAAACAAAGCACTTGCATCTTGATTTTTTTGTTTCAAGCAATCAGTTTTCAGATTAATGGAATCCAGCAGTGGATCTTTTTTGAATGTTCTGAAAAATCTTAATACTGTGTCATAAATCTAGTAGAGAGAAGCATGCGCTGTGTTAAATGAATTGCCCACTGGATTCTTGGTTGTCTCCTGGAGACTGTTTATCAGGCACTGTTTTTACTACAGCAGTTGAAGGTGATGTGAAATGTGATTCAAATGTTGTCCATACTTTTAATGTGAAATTAATCATGATAAATTCCACAGCATGCTACTGAAATGCAAAGTTCAGCTTCTTCTTTCCTCTTTCCAAAAAAGAGGTTTCACAATTAATTTGAGCTGTACATATTATGTTTCAATCATGCATAGCAATCTTCTTACTGAGTCACCCTCTGTCAAATTCTTTACATTATCTGTTCTCATCATAACATTGCTTGCAATTCCCTTAGTTGGCACCTGTATACTTAATACACAGACTGACCAAAAATTTGTATTTGCGCTCTCCTTTGTCCAGTGCTTTTTTTTAAAGTATGGAAAGCAAAGGAAGACTAACATAGTTGTTTTCTTTTCCTATTGGATGTATAGAAATTTATTACCCATAATTTCTTTCATAGTGTGAATGTGTTAATATTCAAGTTAAAAATTGTGTTTCTATGCATTAATGTGAGTGAACAAAAGAAAAGTGCAATATTTAAAAAGAAAGCAAGCTTTTCCCTGTTACATCACTACTAAAGTGTCCTTTCTTTGAACAGCCGTAAAGAAATATTTAAAACCAAATTCCTTTATGGTCTGAGGCTTAGCATTTTTGCTCCAGCTTGTACAGCTTGAAGCAATCTGATATTTAGATGCCAAAGCACCCCACAAATAAAGCCAATTTGGACAACTGGTAACTTTGGGGAAGGGAAGAAGTAAGCTGCCAAAAATGTCACATTTCTGCATTATTTTGTTACTTAACTAGATTAATTTTAAGAGCACAAAATTTCAGTGTTTATAGCTTTACTTTGTATTATGTTTAATGACCAGTGAAGTGCCTAAAGAGATGCATAAATTTACCCAGTAGGAAACAATTGTCACTGCTAAATCTTTTTTTTTTTTTGGGGGGGGGGAGAGGGGAGGAAGAGGTGTTTCCTTTTCTTTCTTTCTTTTTTTAACTCTGAGGGTGACTTTATTTTGCTCTTACATGCATTACATACATAAAATTAACAGGTTATTTAAAGTTGCATTGAATTGTAAAAGACGATATAGGAAAAAAATTTCCATTGAAGACTGCAGAATAAGTTTTTAGTTAATGACTAGTCATTTTTAACACTTTTCATTTGAAAAAAAAATCATGGACCATTATGCTATTAAAGTTAGTTTCCTGTCTCCTTTTTTTTCCTAATAACTTGCTATGACATCACATATTGGGTTTTTTGCTTTAGCTATCTGTTCCAGATTGGAAAAGTAAATGATTGTACACTTTATACATTGTTTCTGCACTTTTGGACTGCAGACTATTTGCATGAAAAACCTTGTGAGGGAGAAATTATTAAAAATTTTAAAGTTAGGGTTGGTTATTTAAGGACTATCCAACAAATTGTACATCAGAATCCCTTCTGTAGGAAACATTGCATAAACCATAAAATGTATTTATCTTGTTTAGCTAACTACAAAGACTATTCAGAAGTGTTGAGAGGCTCATATGTATACACTTAGATTTTACTTCTTTCTAATTTATAATCCTTTTTTTTCTTTACTATAGTGGCTGTACCTAATGGTTTTATGCTTGGAAATATTCTCTTTGCTAAGAGATTTTCTTTTCATTAGTAGTTTGACCTTTTAGTGATGGAATCCATATAGTAATACTAAATTAAACTCCTCCAATATAAGAAGCCAGATAGTTCTCAAAGCACAGTTGAACTTTTGGAAAGAAGGTGAAACTAGATTTAGGTAACAACCACTTAATTTCTCTTCAAAAATGCAAGGGTTTTAGAGTAGCTTTGAATCGTTAGTGCCTTTGCTTTTAGATTTTGCCTATAGAATTTCCTTTACCTTTCCAGCTCAAATGCCTTCTCAGCAATTTATGTGATTAGACTTGGAAATATATAAACTATAAGTGAATTGATTTTTTTTTCCATCAAAGTACTAGTGAATCAATAATAGTGAAGAAATAAACTTGATTTTAGAAGGTGCCATATCTAATCATATATGGCCCATGTCACATTCCAAGTTAGGAAGTGTCATTTTACAACTAGTTTGCTGTAACTTTTTCTATATAAAATGCAAACTTGAAAGTTACAAAGCTGTTTTCCAGGTGGTGTTTTTCAGAGTATAGCATTTACTATGTAATGATTTATAGCCTAGCTTTTATACTCAAAATGTGATATTTTTAAAATTATAGATGTTTGTTAAAGTTATACGATTATACCGTATACTTTACCTACACTTTAGGCTCACATTGTGCCAAATTTAAATGTGCAAATGTTTTGTTGAGGAAACAAAAGCATGTGTGAATGTGAATCCTCAAACTTCATTGCTTATTAACTTCCATTGTCAAAAATGTACCTTAATAATTCTTGGAGGTATATGCTCAGATATTGTCTCTTTGCTGTCCCTTGATGGGCTTTGTTTACCAGAATTAATATTAGTCACCAAGTCTCAGTCTTCGCTAAGATAAAACTAAAATGTATTGTCTCCTTTTCTGCTGAAGAACAAGTACAGAATGTGCTTTATTACTTTTTTAAAATTGCTTTTCTATAAGGAAGGCAAGTGGAAAATTACAATTTGGAAAAGGTATTTGCATTAGCTCAGTATTCTGTGAAATATAAAACTGGCAGTTGGACATCATGGGATTATAGTCATGCAACAGCAGAGCCCATTTTAATCTAAATAAGACAGGATTGATGCTAACAGCAGGCTCTTGAAACTGTTGTAGAGCCCCACAGGAACCGATTTTTGAAATATTTCCAAAGTTCATTGAAATCAGACAAGAAGACTGATTCTGCAGTTAGAGTGTACACAGAACCAGCATAAAAATTAGAGAGAATCATGCTCACATTTTTAAAATTGCAAAAAGTGTCCCCATCAGCTTTTACTCTGCAAAACTTAGTTTAATGTTGTAGCAACAGGAGACTTATAAATATACAGCAAATCTAAAAAATTAAGTATTTTGGGCTACTTACAAACTATAGGCCAATGAGGCAGTTGGGGGGGTGGGCAGGCAGGAAAGAAAGTGAGATTCTCTTCTAAATGGTTTAAATGGAGAAAGAAAAAGGACAAGTACTTCAAAGGTATTTAGGTGCCTAAAGAAGCAAGGACCTCCATGGATTTTTGTTGACTTCAGTTGCAATTAGGTACCAGTGTGCTTTGAAAAATCCCTCTAGGGCTAGGGATAGAAGTTATATATAAACCAGTTTAAGTGATCAGAAACCAGTTTAGACCTGTTACAGAACAGAAGTTCAGTGCACATAAGCTGCTTTCAAAATGGACAGATCCAGCTTAAGATAAACTTGGATTCATGTAGTATCAGACTTAACTGATTTAGAGCAAAGAGGTTTATAGAACTTCTGTCCCAGATCCCCTCTCGATTCAAGTTTAACTTACAGCCCCCCAGCATCCCAGGAAGCTTTGCAGACCTGGGCTGTGCTGTCTGCTCCAGCAGAGCAGGGCTGGCCTCACCCTCCTACAGTCACAGAGCTCAGGTGGTAAAGCCTCTTCTCCCTAGCCTCTGACTCTGCCCATCAACACAGTGGGACAGGGGTAAGGGAATGAATCCCAGAACCCCCTAGCCTGGGTCTGCACAGCACAAGGGGAGGGAAGGCACCCTCCATGGGGCTTATGCCCCTGCCCCCCCAGACCCTTGAGTTGGGCTAGAATTGCCTTAACCTCACCCTGCCCCTGCCAGCAGTCCTTGTCTTGGGCAGGAGGGAGAATGCACCCACCCGATGCGGGACCCCCAGCTGGGGTCTGCACAGCGCTGGGGGCACTGGGGAAAAGTCCCCTCCACTGGGCTTTTCATGCCCCACCCCTGCAGCCTGCAGGGAGGGAGCAAGGGGGCAGGGGAATGCACCCACCTGGCCCAGTGCTGGACACCCACAAGGCATAGGGTGGGAGGGAAGCCCCCTCCCCAGCGTTTTTTGCCCCCTTGTAGCCCAGAGAGCCAGCTAGGATCCCTTAGGCCTGCCCCCTTCGCCAGCTGCTCTGGTTTCTGAAGGGCTTGGGGGCAAAGTTGGGGAATGCATCCCTGCTGGGAGTGGGGAACCTCCTCTGAGGCTCAAGGATCCAGCCTTCCCCAGGCTGGAGGGACTGTTTTCCCCTGGGGGGAGACAGCAAGGGGTTCGGGGGCGTGTGCTAGGCAGCCAATCAAAGATGAGCCCTGCTGGGCTTCCTTTGGGTGTCCTCAGCCATGGCCGGCAGGCTGGGAGGTGGGCTCTAGTGCCCCCAGCTTCTAGTGTGGGCCACTGCGTGGGTTTGGCTGTCTCTGGTTTCAAAAGTGAATATCAGTTGACTTTATTAGTTCAATCTACACAGTTCAGAGAAACTCGGGCTTAGTTTAGAGATTCAGCCTCGGGCTTTTTGACTGTCTGTACTTAGCCTGGACAGACAGTCTGTAGTTAGCCTAGGTGCCTATCTTCATTTTTCAGCCTCTTTTAAAGGTTCTTAATCATCTAAATTATTCTCCATGGGGATTAAAAGAATAATTTGCAATAAAAAGTGTGACTTGCACCAGTTTATTGATGAAATAGGTTACCTTGTGTGTTTAACGTAGATTTATAAAAGTTTTTCAGAAGGCAGTTAACCTAAAACTTTGTTGTTTTTAAAGTAGTATCTTGACATAATCTTGCATGTCTGTGAATGTTCATAAAAATATGCATTTAATGAAGGTGCTTAGGCTGACTAGAATAGACTTTATGTTGCTAAATTCTGCAGCAGCCACGCACTAAGTCTGAAGTTGCTGGATGTATGTTCTGTGGTAGGATTGTGATTATGGACAGTGAGAGCTGATCCAAAATCTGTTGACTTCCTGAGCCTTCAATCATAGGACATAAAGGTGACCTTCACAAGAAGGAAAAATGCATCAAACTGGAAAAAATGAAACCTACCCATGGCTGATCCAGACCAATAACTCTACTCATGGCATGCAAATGCTGCTAGCCACAAAAGCTGGCTAAAAAATGCCAGGGATTTGTTCCATAATATGAGCTTTAAACTAGGCAAGGGAAAGCCAGCTCTTCCATGCTGTAGCCTCTATCTGCCTATCTTTGGGAAGGTTTTAAGCAAAATACACATTTCCAGGGGAAAAAATTTCCAATTGAAAAAGAGTTTGGCAGTCATAAAATCCCATCATCCCTGGCCATGGGAGACAGGCCAAGAAGAGCTGAGGTGTTCCAGGTTAGGACAGAGGCATCAGCTGAACAGCATTTCCTATGGTAGTTTAACCCTTGGTACAAATATACTTGGCCTTCTGCAAATCCACTGCCCCCATCTCCTTTCCAGTTGTTGAATAGTTCTGTTCTTCACCGAGGGGCTTCAGGCCCAACGTCCCAGTGACTAGCGCTGTCAAAAGTTCTCCCCACCCAGCAACAAGTGCTCCCTAGACAAGTTCCTAATCATGCTTTTCCAGCTGTCAAACCTTAAATTATCCTTCAGGCAGAAGCACTCAGACCGAAGCTTTCTGCATAGCATTGAGTTCCTACGCTGCCACCAGGAAGTTCCTTAGAGTTCTATTGCTTAATCTTGTGCCGTTCCTCGTTTTCAGGAACACTGAATTCACGTATTACTTTTATTTCTGGCCAGGAAAATTAAATCCCTTTTTCAAAAGTTCATTATTGAGTTTTGGTTTTTAAATAGTCGTTCTCTCTGCCAGTAAGAGTGTGATTTTCCTTTCTGATTACCATCTAAGGCTCAGATATTGCTACTTGCATTGAAGTCTAACAAGCCTACTTGTGAAGGACCCATGCAAATTAGTCCAGGCAAGGGGTGGGGGGTGGGGTCACATTCTGGCCAGGATTACAAATAAATAAATACATCCAATAGCATATATTCTCTCAACCCAATTATATAAGTCCTTTCTTGGGCAAACCTCCCATCAACTTCTGGAGTTCTGTCCATGAAAGGGTGGACTTGGTCTAGTATTTCAAATATTTTTACACAACTGCGTACGCATTTATTAAAGCTTAAACTTATTGAAGGAATTCTGTCTATAGCAGTCAGATTTGGTCTTTAAGAAACTAAGAGATAAAATGTTGTCACTGCCATGCAAACGCCTACAGACACTTACCTTTGCTCAGGTAGTAAGTTTAGAGGATGTAAATTAGGCTTTTACAAGTAGCAGCAATAATCTCAGGAGGGGAATTGGTGTGTTTGTTTCATAAAATGAAGTATCACTAAGTGTATTCAAAGTACTTCTGTACTTATGCACATAAGGGAAATATAAAACAACTTTTCCAAGAATACTGATGAGACTTTATAGAAGGTATGTGTTTCAGTTGCCCTGTGATGGAATAATTAAGATATATTTTTTTCCCCAATGTATCATTCTACACAAAGTTGAGGGGGGGCAGCCTTTCATTTTTGAAAGTGTAAACAGACTGCAGTTTGAATTTTCTTTTCCAGCTTTTACAATAAACTTTTGAAAGCAACATTTTAAGGAACATAGATTGCTTGTTCATCTCTAGGAATTTAGAAATGATGGTACCAAATTTATTCCAATATATTATAACCTAAAAATTTGCCATGCAGTTTCTCATTGTGCCTCTTCATGCTTAAGTTATGCCACCAAAACTGAAATACAGCCTTTCCCTCCATTACCTTCACCAGTGAACCAGATCAATGAGTATATATTGCATGGTTGTTAAGAAAAGTATAGTAATGTTGAAAGGATTTATGCCCACTTAAACCTCCTTAAGGTAAAGAATATGTCTGATAAACTTTGGCTGCAGTCTTAAGACTTTAATAAAACTCATAAAGCCACAAAATATTTTCTTGATTAAGGCAGAACTGGATATAAACTCTAATGTAAAAGATAAGATTTTAACTTGAAATCTCTCAATCATACCCTGTTATTTTGCTGGACAGCTCTGTAATGAATGTATATGTCTTTATGTCTGAGACGATTCAAAATCAGACTGCCGCCTCTATTTTGTTTTGTTCAATATCGTATTATCCTTTTTTATCTTTTTTTTTAAGTTGAGCGATATATGTAGCATGCTGTGAATGTCCGTTGGATCTTTATTCTTTAATTCATCAGTATTAACACCTGTTCTCTTTGTGTTCGTTGGTACTTTTACCCATTTTAATCAAAAGCTGTGATATATCTTTGCAGTCCTGTGCTTTGTTACTGTAACATTTTGATTTTTTATGAAGCACGTGACTGTGGATTATTGTGAGGCAGACAGTGCTCTTACATGACTGCCACTTATTGGTCTCTCTTGTACTACGTAAAGTTGTAAGTAGAATAAGCTTTTTAACAGATTTGATGCAGTTTAGGATTCACACAAGTTACAAATGTCCAATGTGTGAGAGTCTCTGTATTTATAGTTTTTCGTTCATAAAGTAGCAAACTTGATAAATATAGCCACTTTAACTGCTCTTGCTAAACAGACCCTACTGTAGATTTAAAATACCACTGTATATATGGGAAGTAGATGGTTGGAATAATGGCAGTGTATGAAATCTCTATTTGTAAATGTGGATGAATTAAGCCCTTTCTCTGAATGAAGAAATCTAATGAGATGCTTAGTCTACACAAAGTGACTACTGTCCATTTGCTCAGACATTGTTCTAAATACCTTGAAAGGCTATGGTTTACATCATATCTTAACCCCCTCAATCAGCAAATATGCTATTCATTTAAGGTAAGGCATATCCCTGGGCAAAGGGCCAATACAGTGTCAGTGCAAGCACAACTTTCTGTATTACCCTCAAAATAAAGTTGAGAGGGGATATGCGTTGCATTGGCTTGTCCTGGTCTGTTGTAGGGAGAGTTTCCCCCAAGATGAGCTGCTGAAGTTAATGGAGATTGCAAGACTCCTTTCATACTTCTTTGGGGTATGAAAATAGCTGCATCACTTTTGATTTGACATTCAAGAACCCTGTTTAGCACAGGTAAATAGTGGCATTTCCTCTCAGTTGATGTGATGTCTCCAAAGATGGTTTTGGGTCTAATCCTAATTAAGGCTAAATTGTGATGTAACAATCTGCCTGGAGTAAGGAACAGCGCATTTTTTGTTGAGCAACCCAGGCAGGAGATTGTTTCCAAATCACTATCCCCCTTCCCTTGCTTTCTGTTGCTCCACGGAGAGAGTAAATTGTGACAGGTTTATATCTTGCAGCCTGAGCCTGTGCTTCCTGGTATGTACTAGTGC